ATGGTACGTTTTCATGTTGAAATGTGTTATGAATACTTCCCTTAAGCTATACTTACTCATTAGTTAATTTGATGAATTAATTGAAGCTAGACCACCAGGGAAAACCTGGAATCCCTAGACTACCGTTTCGTACTAGTGTGAGACTCGTCATCAGTGACTGGCTTCACGAGGTATTTCCTGGAGTTCTAGTAAAAAACACTGACCAGTGGAGTTCAACTGGGTCTGTTGTGAGACAGTAACTCACTAAAGACAATAGTGAATGGTGACTTGATTTCGTGGATTGGCTGAAGTTAGAAATTAACACCCTTAGATGCTCCCTCAGTGGTCTACAGGTTAAGCGTTCGCGCACGAGACAGATATGTCCTTCGGTTAAGTCCCACATGATAGATTGTGAGTTCGCACAGATGAGGAGTCCTATAACTGAACGAAACAGTCGTCCAGTGCATACAGGTTTTCCATGGTGATATAGCTTCAATTAAATCATGAACTCAGCTGTTAAATTACCATAATATTCACAAAATCCCTTTCTGAGTATGCTTATTCATCATTAGCCTGTCTGCTACTTAAATTACTTTCATATTCATTTTAGACTTCTTGACCAAGGAGAATTGAGTTCTTTATTTCTTTTTACCCGATTTTTAGGGAAACTATCAAGGGAATATTATCATCATGGTGGTGAAATGTACAACTTCCATTATCTTTAACTTTAATGAGTCTGTCAGATTAGGTCAACAGTTATAATTATTTGATACTCTATCGCAATCATTCGCTATTATTTTAATATATATTTGATGTAAATGATTCTATTTGTTCTGTTCTCCTTGTGAACATTCAATGACGTATTATTCAACTGAGTATAGGACTTGTAATTTGTGTTCATGTAACTGCTCATTGTTTTAGTGATAAGTCTTCTAACTGAATGCAAGATTCGGTTCCTAAGCTGTTCTAGTAACCTGATGGGCTAAATCTACACAAAGATTTGAACACGAGAGAAAAAGCATGAAATATGGAGAAGATAACGCTTTACTCTAAAGATTCGTTTAAGTACCGAGAATCTAGGGTTTTTACAGCCTTTTGTGGATGGCCTTAGGTTTCCGGAAAATATTGGAACGCTTGTAGACATAATAGCAGTATAGGTAACCATTGATTCAGAAACGCTACATGTGACTTTCCACTTTCTAGATGTTTCTGACAAAACTTCTATTGAATGCTGGTTGGATACGATGTTTCTCAGAGCTTTTCTATGGTTTTTTCCGAGGGGTTTTCTAGATCTCCCTAACGTTTAGTTTTGTGAATGAATTGGCTCTATATCTGACTTTAATCAGATGGTTTGCTATTTGTTATTGGAATATAAATACTTCTTACCCTCGTACGGAATAAGCCATACACGAGAACGAATTTTGAATACATACATTTCCTATACTCATTGGAAGAAGAAACGAAGTGAAGGAAGCGAGACGAAATAAAGTGACTCTGGGCAGAGATAGATAGTAAGTTGACTCGATTTAACCAAGGGTGAATGGATATTTATAGTCAGACAAAGATAAGCTACAGACAGGTAATGAATTGAGCAATTAATGAATGCACATAAGATAATATGAAAATCAGCCAGGGTATGATGGTGGTTGGAGGTAGTGAACAGGAAACTCGTATCACAGCATAAACACACGTTCGTCTACCCATTCCGACAGATCACCCAACTGATGCACCAATCAAGCTTCATTATGATTCCTTGAAAATCAACTATTCAATCATCAACTCCTCTACTACTCCACCTCCTCCCCTTACACCTTCTCCACACACCACCACCTCAACTCACAATCTCACATTTGGCCGAACACCGAGTACTCACTCAGACATAACCACATGTCAAATCACGATCTCAGATGGAAACAGACACAAGTTGCTTCATTCATTCTCTCCACCTCCCACTCACCTGTGCATCCTCTAATCCTCTCCCATCCAATCACACAAGCACGTTGAAAGTGTTTGCGACTCAGATATCTTCTCTCGGATTGACAAGTTGACGACAATTGAAACGATATTTCAAGAGACGAACAGACTGAAGTGTGGATCGCCACTGACTCGAGTGAACAGACAGGATTCTGAGTGACGTTCAGTCAATGGGTCGATCATGTGCACAACCATGTTTGTAAGCATGTATGCACACACCATGATGAGGCGATTGTGCGTGGATTGGGGGACTACATGTGCACTACACACAAAGCCACACCGGGACACATATGAGGCGGTACACTAGAACCAGTATGTAAGACAGGTGAGGATAGAACCGACTGATTGTGTGATTGCTCACAACGATAGTCAGTGTGCTTCTCAATTCGACACTGTGCTTTGTTGACGATGCGGTAGATGAACAGCGTGTTTCCGTCCGATCACCAACTCACAAGTCTTGCCGATTATTGTGACATTCATCTGTAGATATTTTCACCTCGATTGCTCGTCCAATAGAATGCGTCTGACCGGATAATTCACGTGTTGGTGTCGATGGAGAGAGTGCACGTGAACATTGTGCTTTGTGTAGTTTGGTCAGGCAAAGTTGTGATGTGGTGTATTTCAGATGGACACATATAGTGCAGAGTGTTGACGATATTGCTGATGTTGGCACGTTGTAGGTGGTGGTGTCTGTCGGTGTTGTGGGACAGTTAGTTCGAGACAGTCGGAGATGATCGGACAGAGTTGGAGAGGTAGGGTTGGTGATTGTTTTCGGAGTGAATAATATAGTGTGTGTGTGTGTGTGTGTGTGAGAGTGTGAATGCATGCATGATTTGTTTGCGAGTGGGTGTTTTTAAAAGGACGTTTTTAAAAGGTCTCTAAGATAGTATTCTATCATAACAAGTCGTGAATTGATAGTTTGGACAAATGTCAGTCTGGAATCTGTGATTGTTTGAATTATAACAATAAGCATTTTGTAGTATCAAAGAGATTGAAATTTATCAAACTATAAACTAACACCATTGAAGGTTATGTCATACTAACTAATAACTAAGACATTGCTAACTAACCATTGGTCAATTGATTCAAAGCCGAAATTCGATTAGGCAGAACAACCCAATAGTGTCATTCTTAAGTTGGGCTGTGAAAGAAACGTTTCTGCTAGCGAATGTTAGTCAAAGCTTTCGTTCTTAAAGCATATACCATTTCACTTGCTTTTGTGGATCAAGGTACATAGGCAGTGGTCAACATTTACTTTCAAGTTGAATAAGATAACATAGTTTATTGTGGTTCTATCCTTGTAAAGTTAATCAATTTTAATCATTTTACTGATCCACAGGTTGATTTGATAAGTTTTTACACAATTCATTCATCCATAAAATAAACGCTAAATTGTGTTTACTTAAGAAGCATCCCTATCTTAAACTATTATTATTATTATTATATTATTATTATTAGTAGTAGTAGTAGTAGTAGTAGTAAAGATGGGTTGTGGCTAGCAGTGGACTACTCATCTGGATGTTCGTGCACCATAGAGTCGACGTTCACTTTGGCACTCGAACACAGTACCGTTCGCTTCAAACACAATCGCGTTATCTTCTTAGCTACTGAGTCCTAATAACCACTTGCTTGTGCAACGGGGTGAAGTTTAAATCTATTTAATATTGTTTACTAGAATCTTTCCATTGATATGTTGGGAGACTGCCAATGATCCGTCTTTTATTGGCAATCGAATGTATTTGAATACGAAATTACAGAATATATTGGTAAAATCTGAGAACTATTCAGTAAATACTTCATTTGCACAACATCAATCGTTCCCACATCAATCATTCTCTATTCTTGTTCTCTTTTCTCCGATCTTCTTAATCTTCTACTGCTAGACATTTCACTTCTGACTGATGATACATACCATTTACATCTGTCGACATCAGTAGCATACGTCACACTACAATCAAGTTTGTTTATGGTTAATTTTGGTTATGAATTTTATTATCGTACTTAATAGTCAATGTACTGTTATGATCACTAACGATGTCTGTATAAGCGCGCATGCTCGGTCATATGTAACCGTCTACACACATACCCATCACTCCATCATAAATGTTAGTCGCTTAAATATCGCTCGATAAATTATTCACTTTCCCATATACATGTGCATGAATCTTACTAATTGCGTTGTATTGCTCCGCTTCGCCTCGATTCGATTTGACTGTGAATTCGCTCCAGTATACGCTTACAAGTTTCGTCATGCGTATTAGCCTATCTGCTCAAATTCGCTTCTAACTTTGTTATCTGCGCTACTCAATAATAACATGTAGTCGGAGTTTCGTTCTGCGTTCTAAATTTATACACCGTTTGGATTTATTTAATAGCGGTTATCAGGTGGGATTGATAATTGTAACGTCAGAAATGATCTCAGAGTCAAGCCACTACATGGGCTCATTGTGCAATGAACGAGAAGACAGAGCGACACAACCGAATCACTTATTAAAATCTGAGAAGCGTACAGTAAATATTTCTTTGGCAAAATGTTAATCTATCGTCTTAAACTTTAATGTTCCTTCATTTTCACAGCAGTCATTCTCTGTTCTCGTTCTATTTTCTACGATCTTTTTAACCTTCCACCACCAGGCATTTCATTTTCGATTAATGATACCTGCTACTTATATCTATCGATATCAGCAGCACACATCACAATTGTTCTAACATTAAATTTTATGGGTAAACAATCTTAATTATTCGAACACTTCAGTTAATATCTTATTCCTTTTGTTTTAACTTTCTTCCTACTTTTACGTTGTAGAAAGAAAACTAATAATGTGTAATTTGCATTTAATACGTTGCATTAAAGTGTTTTGCGAAATTATTATATGTATTTCTTTCGTATTTGTCTTACTCACATACTAAATGAACGTGTTTGACTTTTCGTTCGAGTTCTGGGGTGAACGGCTGACGAGTCCCGGAATAGGACGATTCAAATGCCAGCTACCATCCATCTCTGCTTACAATTGTTTGATTTCGATCAGTTGAAGGGAGCATAACTGGGAAATTCTTCATAAGTGGTCACAACAATGCTTACAAAAGAGGGGAATCTGTTTTTGAACTCGGTGTCACATATTTATTATCATACATGTAGTGCATACTACTTATATCGACAGGTAATACCTATCAGAAGTGGAATGCATTTCAAAAGAAGATTAAGAGGATTAAACTGAAGAAAACAGAAAGCATAACTGAAAAAAGAAGAAGAGAATTGAAGGAATCATGAAGGATGTAAAAGATAATTGATGGAATATATGAAAGGCAATTATTTAATGTCTGATTTTTCATATGTTATGAAAGAACTCTGTAATTAAGCTTTAAATAATAATATGATCTGTGCTACTTATACTGACATAAGTAGCATATAACGCTTGTAGGAATGGAATATCGGACAGCAGAAGATTGAGTAGTTCGAGAAGAAAAGAACAGAAACACAAAGCGATTGGTATGAAAACGAAGGAACAATTAAGTCTGAAACAATTAATTGACACTTTGCAAATGCAGTTTATACTGTATAATTCTCAGGTTTTAGTAAAATGTTCTGTAATGTTATGCTAAAATACATTCGATTGTCACCGTTTGTATTCTCGTTCACCAGAAGAAGTCGCTTATTCCCACTTGAGGTCTCGTTCACTTCATAAATCTCAAGTATTTTTTTAGATTCACTATTTAGTTTTGTTATTGATTGAGATCTTGAACCGATTGATGTTAAATCACCATGGAAAACCAGAAAATGCTGAACTACCGTTTCGTCCTATTATGAGACTACTCAGCAGTGTCCATCCACGAGCTTGCTGTTGGGATTCGCACGCAGGGCCTTCAGTCTCACGGGTGAACACCTAACCTATGGACCATTGAACCGGCATCCAACGTCTAACCTCAACCAATTCACAAAATTGCGCGACCATCTTCCATTGTAATGAGGTAGATACCTGTCTCCATCTGACACGGAATAATTCCACTGGCCACGGCTTCTCATTAGAACTCGGACAATTCCCTGACAAAGCTAGGCACTAGTGAGCAGCTGATAATTATCAGTATAGTTTTGTGAAACAAAACGTGCCAACTTAAAGAAAGAAACGTGCTATTACGAAATATAGTCATCTTGTATATGTGCACAAATGTAATGAACCATAATGTAGTTAAGTGAAGAATAGACAATGAAGCTTTAACATTTCATTGATTAGTTTCATAATTTTGTCCGAATGTTGAAGTCTCACTTCTAACGTTGTAGCATACTGGTAGTATTATTAAAAAAGGTATACCAATCATTTATTGTGTTCCTAAAAAGCAGAAATTATCGATTTAGAACAGAACAAAATCAAATGATTATGGTAATATATGTTCAAATCAATACTCAAACTTTATTGATTGATTTGATTGGGAAAAAATATGTATGAAATGATTGATTTAGGTGCTATGCTTTAAAATACCATTGTCTTTGATTGATACACATTCGTATTGATATGAGAAGTGAATAGTAATATTCCACATGACTCCAAATTATCCGATGCATCCTTCTCATTGAAAACACCTTTAATATACATTTGAAATCTAATCAATCTATTGATGGTATGATAAAGTATTTGATGATTGAAGTATAAAAATGGCTTGACTTTCTGCGCATTTCTAATACCTTTTGTACATTTTATTATAGATGACTATGAAACGAGTTTCGATCGTAATGTAACTACTAGAGTTACTTACTTACTTATGCCTGTAACCCCTCGTAGAGGTGCATAAGCCACTCACCAGTAATCTCCGTCCAACTCTGTCCTGAACAATCCTTTCATGCTACCATTAATCTCTTTTATATGTGCTTCTCATTCTCGGCGTAGTGTGTTCTTTGGCCTTCCTATTTTCGGTTTTTCTTTACGATTCCAAGTTATCACTTGATTCATGATGCAGTTTGTTGATTTCTGTCTATAGTTCTGCTAGAGTTCCTGGTGGTCCCAAGATCAGGTAAAGGAGAAGGGTTGGGCATAGGATCGACAACCCCACATTGTAGAAAGCAATCTTGCTAGACAAACGTCAACTACATTAAACAAATCAACTTCTAGAGTGGTTGGAATGTTAGAATTTGCTTACCAGATTCCATTCAAAAAGCTTCAAAATATAAATCGTTTAAAACAATAGACGATTGAATTCCAAATAGATACAAATTATCTTAAACCTTTCAAATTGGTTTATATATGCAAATATAACCGTGAAATTTTGTTTGGCATATTAAATAAACCATGTTTACTTATTACTGTGGTGTATGCTACTAATATCAACAGATGTAAGTAGTATGTATCATCAATCGTAAGTGAAATGCCTGGTTGCTGATGGTTAAGAATATCGAAGAAAATAGAACGAGAACAGAGAATGGTTGCGAATGGAAATGGAAGAACAATGAAGTCTGAAATAATTGATTAACATTTTGCAAATGAAGTATTTACTGTATATTTTCGTAAGCAAAAGATGGATAGTGGCTAGCAGTGGAATCCAGGACGCGCGTTTCGTCGTATTTGGGACTCGTCAGCTGGATGTATGTGCATCTCGGAGTTGATGTTCACTCTAGAAATTGAACCCAGTACCATTCGCTTCAAACGCCATCACGTTATCCCCTAAGCTACTGAGTTCTGATATCCACTTGCTTGTGCAATGGGATGAATTTAAATTCACTTGGTATTGTTTGGCTTGTATCTTCCCATGACAGACTGATCAATTGCAGTCTTAAACTTCAATGAGAAGATACAAGCCAAGCAATACCAAGTGTAATTACTGTATAATTCTCAGGTTTGACTAATATGTTCTGTCATTTTGTGACATGCATACACTGGAAATGTTCAGCATAACAGTGAGTAGTAATTAAAGAATTGGCTGTTAAGTAAATGTCTTTATTTTGTGTTACAAAATACATGAATAAATTGTATTTTGCCTATATAAACGACCAAGTGACTTAAAACAATATCGAAGCAGTGTGCACAGGATGTACACATGTCAACAAGAGATTGATCAATTGCAGACCTCAACAACAATGAGGAGATACTACCAAATAATGCCAAGTAAACCTAAAATTCATCTCATTGTATAAGCAGGTGGCTATCAGGACTCAGTAGCTAGATGGATAACGTGATGGTGTTTGAAGCGAACGGTACTGGGTTGGAGTTCCAGAGTGAATTTCAACTCTGGAATGCAGACACATCCAAATAACGAGTCTCATTTAGGACGAAACGTGCATTGTGGATTCCACTGTTAGCCGCTATCCATCATTGCTAACCAAATGAACTATATTTTAAGTTTTTTAACATTCGAAAGAGAATGCTGGTGGGCAGTCTATGCTGCTCCATGAGGGGTAACAGGCGTAAATAAGTAAACTACACTTTACTAAACCATACATTGAATTAATAAGTTACATCAAAAAGCATTGACATTGTAAATTCAACTTACCAAATGAAGCTAAGAAGGGATCTAGTTTGAATAAATCAATAGAATGATAGTTGATTTTGACACGGAAAAATGTTGATTTAGAAGTATACTGACTGTCATGTTGCACAAACGTATGAATGTTTGCACACAATGAACAATTTAATCTAGACATTCTAATCTATTCATTCTAACAAAATTACTTGGTTATTCATAAGATTACTTAAAATGAGTATGGAAAGTTATTTTCTTAGTTAAAATTTACTAAACCATATAGAATGACAAAATAAAATTTCTTATCTTAGGTGGACATGAACAAATAATTATAATATTTTCATAGTTGAAAGCACAAGTCGATCTAAGCAGTGTGTATCCACGATCCCGCACTTGGGACTCAACGCAAGGATCTTTGGTTTCGGGCGCGAGCGCTTAACCAACAGATCACTGAGTCACGTGCGAGGTCGTGCATATGCATTGCTGAGGGGTTCCATACTAGGACGAAATGGTCATTCAATGCTTCTAGCTTTACACTTGTGGTCTAGCTGAAATCGACTAGTGATTTTAACTGTCATTATACTTCAATCTTCTTAAATCCTCATACTGATAATTCTAATATTCAGAAATGTCAAATATAGTTTTCTTATTATAGTATTCTTACTACTCAACATATATTCATCTACACACTGTAAGTTATCCATTAGGCTTAATATTTAATGAGTTCGATAGAATGGTTTGATGAAATATAGACGATTGATTTCATGTTTTGTCTGTTGATATCGTCCTGAAGGAAACATATCATCGAAGTGTATGAAACGTAATTTATAATAAAATCTTAACAGAATTACAATTCATCATCAACGTTCTGACTAAACTCAGAGAAGTTTGAATTCACTTGATATTGTTTTTTGTTGTATCTTCCCATTGATGTTTAGGACTATATATGTGCATCCTGTGAGAATTGCCCCGATATTACTTTAAGTCATAAGCTTTTAAAGCAGAGATGGATAGTGGCTAGCAGTGGAATCCAGGAGTCATCAGCTAGACGTACCTAATTTCCAGAGTTGATATTCATTCCGGAACTCGAACCCAGTATCATTTGCTTCAAACGATACCGCGTTATCCATATAGCTACGGAGTTTTTATTGATGTCAAAAATTGAAAACTATTGATTTCAACAGTTATATAAATAATAAACGTAAATAACAATATCACTTTCTAACGGTCACTTACTCAAATATTGACCAAAGTTTCCTTGAATATGATGAATTCAGAAGTAAATAGAGATATTGATGATTGGTTCAAATGAACGCAAAAAGACCTAAAAGGCATACACTATGAACTCTATAAGACAGCATGTTAAACTGAAGAATAAACTCATTTGAAAATGATAAAGTCGACAATGAATTCATTAAAGTGAATATTCCAAATCATGTGATCAACAGTTTGTTATCTACATTTTCTCAAATTATATTTTGTGGTGTGTACTACTGATAGCGACCGATATAAGTAGTATGTATCATCAATTGAAATTGAAATGCATGGCGACAGAAGATTAAGAAGATCGATGAGGAGAGAACGTGAACTGAGAGTAATTGATGGGGAAATGAAGGAACAGTCAAGTTTTCGACGATTGATTGACGTTTTACTGTTTAGTTCTGAGGTTTTAGTATGAGATTCTGTAATTGTGTATTCATATGCATTCGATTATTTCCACTTGTGTTCTCGTTCACTACGTTCATTACATTAAAACATATATATTCACTTACCCAATGAAAGTCCTTTTGAAATGTAGAATAATAGTCAATTTCAAGAGAATGTTCCTCTACTATGAAATTGATGTGTTCATATCATCTAATGACAAGGTCAAATACAGAATATAATGATTAATTGTATATGTATACAGTTTGCGTTCGTCCTAGACTCGAGTACTACATTCAAGAGGCTATCCCCAGCTAAATCACAATCAGTGATCGGTTAAGAAAGGCGTAGACAATCACAATTAAGTGTAATCCGGAATAGCCAACCTCGACTGCCTTAGTTAGAACCCATCTGCATTGTCATATAGAGGAACCAGGGGGAAATTGATCTTTTTCAGTTACTTAATGATAAATTTGCATGTGATATACCCTCATTTTTCTTGTCTTCCAAGACAGTGAATTAACGAGGACACTTTAAAGGAATTTACAAACCCAAGACAAATTACTTGTCAGCTGATTATCGATTTTCCCATTGAATCATCAACTTGTGGAATTCATTACCTCAACACATGATTAGAGCTCCATTTATCGACTCTTTCAAAAGAAACTTGGATCACCTAAGAGGCCACCATTGGCAGGACTAAAATAGACCATCTAGCTTCCTATCCTTTCCAAACTGAAGCTGTAACTGAATACAATTACTCAGTAAATGTATACTAGCTCTTGCATATACTTCAGTTTACATGAATTTTTTCAATAAATATCAAATGTCAATTCAAGTAGATAGTAACTCATTGAAAACAATATTGGACGATGACACAATTTCGTAAATTGGTTACATTTAGACATTAACACCATTGGATGCCGGCCAGCTCAATGGTCTAGAGGTCCTGGATTCGAACCTCACGGGATGGGATCTTGGATGCACATCGCTGAAGAGTTCCATACTAGGACAAAACTTCTGTCCAGTACTTCCAGGTTTTCCATGGTGATCTAGCTTCAAATGACTCATGAATTCAACTAGTGAATTGATAATTATCCACAACCTCTGAATGAAGATTAATATTATAATATTTGATAAAAAGGAAAACAGAATGTTAAATGTTCAGCTTACTTTTCCTCTGTGACCAGTGATGTAGTTGGTTTTGTATATCAACCAAACGATAATAAATTAATATCAGAGAAAGATTTTTGTGGATATTATAGTGATTTAATTGCTGGATTTATGAGTTAATTAAATCTAGACTACCATAGAAAACCTGGGAACACAGGACGACCGTTTCGTCCCTCTATGATACTCCTCAGCAGTCGTCATGTTGGACCGTGGATACGTGATAATGAGGAGTCTCACAGTAGAACGAAACGGTCTTCCTGTGCTTGCAGGTTTTCTATGGTGATCCAGCTTCAATTAACTCACGATCTCAACCATTAAAATAACAAAATAGTCAAATAATTCAAATGTAACTGACAATACTTATACATTCATTAGAATATAGAAATTTTATTCGATTACTTTAAATAACATACATACTTTTACATTCTGTTTGTGAGGACCTAGATGAACCACAATAACATGACTGTATTAGAAATATTGAAATGATGGCAAATTGAATCATTAAATAACTACTGATGATAGGTGAAGTGAATTAAGTAGTAAACTTTGATATTTATGTTTCTAAGAACTTCATCAATGGAAATGATGGTTCTTTTATGTCTATAAGTGTTTCGATCAATCAATACTGTTATTTAATTGGTTTAATCAGTAGAGTAAACAATCTATATTATAGGCGTCAAAACCAAGTACGCCTTTTATAACCCTAAAGTAATGATTATTATCTATTGACTTAATAGTTCTTCCCCTTCATAGATATACATTTCAATGCAGACGATTGTTTTCAGTAGGTTATCAGAGGTTTAGAGTTTGAAAAGATAAGGGATTAACAAAAATTTTATTGTTTTATTATCAATGTATGTCACACCCTGATAAACAGACTATTATAAACATTGGTAGATATTTTAAATGATTGACTTACTTACTTACTTACTTACTTACTTACTTACTTACTTACTTACTTACTTACTTACTTACTTACTTACTTACTTACTTACTTACTTACTTACTTACTTACTTACTTACTTACTTACTTACTTACTTACTTACTTACTTACTTACTTACTTACTTACTTACTTACTTACTTACTTACTTACTTACTTACTTACTTACTTACTTACTTACTTACTTACTTACTTACTTACTTACTTACTTACTTACTTACTTACTTACTTACTTACTTACTTACTTACTTACTTACTTACTTACTTACTTACTTACTTACTTACTTACTTACTTACTTACTTACTTACTTACTTACTTACTTACTTACTTACTTACTTACTTACTTACTTACTTACTTACTTACTTACTTACTTACTTACTTACTTACTTACTTACTTACTTACTTACTTACTTACTTACTTACGCCTGTTACTCCCAATGAAGCATAGGCCGCCGACCAGCATTCTACAACCCATTTCAATCCATTCCTTACAAAAATTTAAATGAAGCAATATTCATTTCAATATTTGAGATTATGAGTTATTTGAAGCTAAATCACTATGGAAAACCTGGAAGCACTGGATGACCGTTTTGTCCTATTATAGGACTCCTTAGAAACGCGCATCCAAGATACCGACTAGCGGGATTCGAACTCAAGGCTTTCAAACTCACGCGCGAACGTTTAACCTACTTGACCGCTTAACCAGCATCCAACAGTGTTCATGTCTAACATCGACCAATCCACGAAATTGTGCGACCATCTTCCATTGTAATGAGGTAGATACCTGTTTCTACCCGACATGGATTAGCTTCACTGGTCACGGCTTCTCATTAGAACTCTGAGAATTCCCTGACGAAGCTAGTCACTAGTGAGCACATGGTAATTATCAGTATACGGTTGTGGAGATTATTTCAAGTTTTCAATGGTGATCCAACACCAATTGGTTCATGATCTCAATCAAAAACTTAATATTCTCCACAACCCTATACTGACATTCCATTGAATAACCATCGTTTTTCCATAACTTTCTATGTTTACATAAATTGAAACAAAAATGAGATATTAAGTCAGCTACTGTTGTTGGGGGCAAGGTGGAACCACAATTTGAGCTTAACAAGTAAAATGATTATTCATTTAATTTGTCTTTATTCATAGTTGAATAAGAAAGATTTGAGTTTCTTGGATAATCCTGGAACGTTTCAACGTTTCAACAATTTCAGATTTGATCTTCAAAAGTCAAGTTCCAAAAAAAGTTGTTTTGATTATTTAACAGGATTCTATTTTTATTGTTATGATTTTTTTCGTCATAAATTCATTGAATATTCAATATGAGATACTGTAAGACGAATTGAAACTATCTTGTTACTTAAGAACATCTCTAGTGATGCCTGAAATAAGCCTAGCATCCTAATGTCAACATATTTTATTTGATAGGGATTTTTATGGATATTGTAGGTAATTCCTGGAGTTCCAATGAGAAGTTGTGACGAATGTGGTTCAACGGGGTCAGTAACTTACTGAAGACAATGGTGGACGGTGTCACTATTTTTTGGATTAGTTGAAGTTAGACATTAACAATGTTGGATGACGTCCTAATGATCTGAAGAGTAAGCGCTCACGCGCGAAACCGAAAGCATTTGGTTCGAATCTTGCTATGGGAGGGATCGTTTAAGTGTACCATACTTGGACGAAACGGCTGTCCGATGGTCACAGGTTTTCTATGGTAGTCTAGATACAACTGACTCATGAATTTAAATATTTTATTCGCTTCTAATTTGTATTTTAAGAAAAGTGTTTCTGTTGCTAAGCCTTCTGAATATCATTCTTTTTAATTTTATCGTTCAAGTCATTCATCTTCATAGGTATGTTTTAGAAATGAATATGAAACCGCTATCTCTTCAATTGAGGAAACGCGCGTGCTGGATTACACTGCTAGCCAATATCCATCATTGCTTATAAAGCTTGTGACTTAAGACAATATCGAGACAACCCGAACAGGATGTACATATGCCAAAAAAAGACTGATCAATTGCAGTCCTAAACATCAATCGGAAGATACAAGTAAAACAAAATCAAGTGAATTTAAACTTTACCTCGTTGCACAAGCAAGTGACTATCAGGACTTAATAGCTAAGTCGATAACTCGATGGCGCTTGAAGCAAACGGCACTGAGTTGGAGTCTCAACGTGAACATCAACCGTGATGCAGATACATCCAGCTGATGAGTCCCAAATAGGAAAAAACTCACGTTCTGGATTCTACTGCTAACCACTATATATCTTTGTTTATAAAAGTAGTATTGAATAAGATTTTTTTTAAATGTTTAAATCATTTACTCCACCCATTATCAGATTGAAACGTACAATACAACATAGTTACATAAACAAATAAACAAATCAATCAGATATATTGTCATACGTCTTGACAACAAGCCTGTTGACTAAAATGACTATTTTCAGTATTATTAGGATGCTAGCATGCTAACATTTATAATCTAAATCATTTTAAGTCGATTGAATAAATAATCATTGTTTTATAATAGAATACATCATCTAATAGTACTTTGTACAAAGGGGATCAGTGCATTGTTGGTTATCTTACTTTAGCCTTTCAAACATTACTTACTTATTTACGCCTGTTACTCCCTGTGAAACATAGGCCGCCGATCAACATTCTCCAACCCACTCTGTCCTGAGTCTTCTTTTCCAGTTCTATCCAAATAATATTCATTCTTCTCATGTCCGTCTCCATTTCTCGGCGTAATGTATTCCTTGGTCTTCCTCTTCTTCTTTGGCCTTAAGTATTCCAAGTGAGGGTTTGCCTTGTGATGCAGTTGGGTGTGTTCCTCGATGTATGTCCTATACAATTCTAGCTCTTCTTCCTGATTTCTTGCTCCGCTGGAATTTTGTTCGTTCTCTCCCACAGTAGGTCGCTTTCAAACATTACACATTACGATATCTGAAGTTAAGAGTAACGTTTGATGTTGTAAAAGAAAATATGTTTTTGATACCATTTCATTTCATTTTAACACATGAATTGCGATCATGAACCGATTAATGGTAGACCACCATTAAAAACCTAGAACCATAGTCTCAGTTAAAACTCAACAATATCCACAGCCTTATAGTGATAATTATCATGTGTTCACTAGTAGTCCTCATAGTTCTAGTGAGAAGCCGTGACCAGTTGAATCCGACCGTGTCTTATGTGAGGCAGTTATTCACGAAGATAATAGAGGTTGGTCAAGCAATTGGTTAATGTGAAACATTACCAGCTTTGGATGTCAGCTCAGTGGTATAGAGGTTAAGCATTCGCGCGCGAGACGGAAATCTGTTGGTTCGAACCCCTTTGGTATGGGATCGTGGGTGTGTACTGCTCAAGAGTCCCATATTAGTACGTAAAGGTAGTCGAATGCTTCCAGGATTTCTGTCATGGTCTAACATTGATCTGTTCATGATCTCAATCAAAACCCAACGATCTCCACAACCCCGTATTCATAACAATCTAAATAATGTTCACTTATTAAATAAGTTCATTCTTACTTTCCTAATTATCAACACTAAAAGTAGCAAACAATATCGAGTCTGTTAAATTTATGATATTCCGAATATCGGTGAGACTATAATTTATGGAGGAGCCATTCAAAAGCGTTTTTGAGGAATTTCAAGTTCACGGCATCAATTTCAGTACCTGTTACTCATGTACGATCGGTTCACAGTGGTATTAACGAAAACGTTATATTTGAGCGAATACAACAAATGTAACTATCAAAAAGCTCCTTTATTTGTGATGGTTGTAATTAAATGACTTATGAAACTTGTGCTGACTACTGTGATAATGTTGTCTATCAATGTAATATATGTTGGAGGAAGAAGTCTGCTAGAATAGAAATTCTTTCCTCGATCAAGATTGGAACAACAGATTTAGTGGTTGAATTCATGATTCAATTAAAGCCAAATCACCATGGAAATCCTGTAAGCACTGGATAGCTGTTTCGTCCTAGAATAGGACTCCTCAGAAGTGCGCATTCATGATCCCCCACCGCAAGATTTGAACCTAGGACCTATCGATCTCACGCGCGAACACTTAACCTTTAAACCATTGAGCCGGCCGTTGTCGAACTATGTCTAACTTCAACCAGTTCATGACAAATTGTTTATATAAGTGATGTCCGTATAAAATCTCCATGTTCTATGGTAATAAATAATTGTGTCAAATGCTATTTTTAGTTGATCAATCAATTACACTACTTAATTTATGAGTAATCAGTCATGTTTTTATTTATGAAGACATTTAGAATAAGTACGCATGGCTTCTTTTATCATCGGAACCATTACATATGGGTATATATGGGTATTCTGTGCAGATTGACTCGATATTGCTTTACATCTTATGCGTTATAGGTAGAGATAGATGGTGCCTATCAGTGGAATCTAGGATATATGTTTCATCCTATTTTAGGTCTAGTCAGCTTGATGCACCTGCATATTAGAGTTGATGTTCACATCGAGACTCGAACGCAATACCATCCGCTTTAAACGTCATCACGTTACTCACTTAGTTACTAAGTCCTGATAGCCGGTTGCTTGTGCAATGGGATGAAGTTTTAATTCATTTTTGTATTGATGGTTTGAATTTTCCCATTAATGTTTAGGACTGCAATTGATCAATCTCTTATTCGCATATGTGCATCCTGTGCGTATTACCTTAATTCACAAGCACTATAAGCAAAGAGTGAACATCAACTCTGAGATGCAGGTACATCCATCTGATGAGTTCCAAATAGGATGAAACGCGTAACAAACTGGATTCCATTGCTAATCACTATCCATCTTTACTTATAAAGCGTGTGACTTAAGGTAATATCGTCACAATTCGCTTAGGATGCACATTTGCCAATAAGAGACTGATCAATCTTAGTCTTAAACATTAACGAGAAGTTTAAAGTAATCAACACAACGAGAATGATTGCTGTGGAAGCGAAGAAACAATGAAGTCTGAGATGATTGACGGATACTTTGCAAATGAAATATTTAATGTATGCTTCTCAGATTTGACTACGAGTTCGAATATATCTGATTATCTCCACTTGAGTTCTCGTTTACTACAATATGGTTTCCGGTACACTTTCATTTTAACTTCTGATTAAGTACTAACTCAATGCTCATCTTCATGTTAGTACTTGTTTGACGTGTATAATCAATGAATTAAATGGGTAAACTCTGATCGAGTAGTTAAAGCCTATGAGAACACTTCAAATTAGATCATTCCTAAAAGGAAGCTGAACCACATTTCATATAACGGAATATTATAGCGAAGCATATGTTAGCCTGTCCTAATCTCAGTATTCTTTCCCATTTACTCATATGCTTTCTGCTAAACTTTTATTATTGTATAACAAAATGAACAATAATACATCACTAGAGAAATGGATTTGAATAATAAAGAAATCGGTACAGAATTTCATAGTTCATCTTGAATCCTTATCCGGTCATTTGTGTCGCCTGCTGAAGGAACCCAGCTATAGTGTTCCTAGAAACGTATAAATGAATAAAGATCATTATTATTCAAGGAAAAAACCTTTAAGATCACTTCGTAATACATTATGAACAGTTAACTGATTATTATTATTATATATATATGACAAATACAGATTAGAAGGTTTTTTTGGTGGTGTTTTGTTCTCTGAGCTGGATGGTTTGGTCGTGGAGCTTTCATCGATGAAAGCTCCACGACCAAACCATCCAGCTCAGAGAACAAAACACTACCAAAATCATCCACCTGAGCTACAAATCTTCTCCACCATCTCAGATTAGAAGGTTGATTGTAAATGACATAATGCATATATGTAAGCTGTATATTTATTTAACATAAATCTCTAATTGATGTTCATAATTGACGAATACATATATAAAGCTTAACTACCTTGTTTACCGTTCCAACTGTGATGTGTACTACTTATATCGACATAAGTAGTATATAACACTAATCAGGTATAGAATGTTTGGCAGAAGATCGAGAAGGCAAGAACGGAAACGAAAAGTAATTGGCATGGAAACGCAGAGACAATGAAGTCTGAGACAATTCATAAACATTTTTTCAAATGAAGTATGGTATTCCTATTTTATCAAGTAACTGTAATTTTGTACTGAATATCATCAAATGTCCTCACCTATGTTCTCCTTCATAACACTATGATGCTAACTCATAACTCCGATGTTCGGAGACATGGTAGATAATTGAAAATCTCGTTCAGAAAATTGAAATATTACAAAATAGTATATATATATAGATGTATAGATGTATACAGTGTAACTAGACTCCTAAATATGTAAGTGATCTTTTTGTGATGAATACTACTTTTATCGACAAACATGAGTAGTATAAACACAAACCGAATGTGGGATGCACGGCAACAGAAGGTCAAGAAGATCGACTCAAAGGAAGCAGAAACGGAATCCGAAATAAACCGTGAATTGAAAGAATCATACAGAATATGAAGGACAGTTGATGGAACATTTGCAAATGAAGTATTTAATGTATCATTCTCATAAATTTCAATAGTTGAGATCATGAGTCCATTAATGCTAGACCACAATGGAAAACCTGGAAGTTAAGCGTTCACGCGCGAGACTGATAAATCCTGCATTTGAATCCCGCAAGGCTGGGTCATGGATGCGCGCTGCTGAGGAGTTCTACAATACGACAAAACGGCCTTCCAATGAATCTATTGATTGATGATCTCAACTATTAAAATTACTATACTATCCACAAAATCGCCTCCTGATATTCTCATATATGATGAAGATATTCTGTAACGTAGACAGACAAACGCATCTTACCATATTCCATCTAGAAAACTGTGATTGACGTTTATAAAAATAAACAAAAACAGCGAATATTGTTTGAAGTGTAACAAGCATAAATGAATCAGTTATACATTAGTGGTGATTATCCAAGGTTAATGAAATATATTGAACATTCAAGTTGATATTATTATTTAACAGATAACGAACTGATTACAAAATCCACCGCGCAATTACTTCTGGATTGAAAAACGACAAAAAATTCACAAAAGTAATGTATGGGATGTACGGGGTCGCTCTCTACGGGGAAAACTCCAACCGATTGCAAGAACAACTAATTCTAGCTTGGGTAGTTGCGCCGTGCTTCTATGTGACCTGCTTCTATCCAGAAAAGCCTACTAGGCTTCGTCAACTTGTTTGGCTGAAAGGTACGGTGATTATCCAAGATTACTAAAAGATATTAAACATTCAATTCAACAACTAACAATCAAGATGTATGTTTCAGGAATTTGCTAAGTTAATCTCAATTAATATAAAATCATACTGTTAAAATCGTTCCACTTGGAACATATAACATTTATCTGGTACTCTATTTGTCATTGTATGGCGGATACAGTATATCTACTGTAAATTATGCCATTTTAAGCTTAAAGTAAAATATTAATGACTACCTACCATATTAAGCTAATAAGTGTTCTGTAATGATTCAACCAATAGAAATAAAGGAAAATAAGTTTCAGTAATGTTACATTGATTGATGTTACAGTTTACATGAGGATGTGTACTAATTATCATAATGAACCAGTATACACCGGTTCCATCCAGCTTTCTTTCGTACTATGGTATCGTATCATAAATTGTCCTGGTGTCAGCAACTCAACAACTCAGTTCCCCGAGTTTTCGCATTCAAATTTCAGGTTAGTACTTTAGTATCTTTTAAACGCACTTATTAAGGATCATTTGATTGACGGTAGAACTCACATTTGATTAAGTCTGGGACGCAATCGATTTGAGTGTGGATTATCAAGAAACAGCGGTTTTTAAAAATCTCTTCTCACCTGTATCCAGCTTTCTAATATAACAGCACATAAATGACTGTTAATAGGAATCGTATCAACAAATACGGCTCCTGATCCAGGGCTTCGTACTACTTTATTTATTTAAACACATAAACATTGATACAAGGAGGCACCAAATAAGTATGCATCACACTTTGTCATTAGATCTGTGTGAGGGCCATGATACTGTTGAAGTGCCCAAACCGGAGCAGGTGGTTTCCTTAGAGGGGCACACCCAGAGCCTTTGACCTAGGGGTCTAATCCACAAGGCAGTTAGGCAACGTTAAAAGATGCAGTCCCATAGTGGCTGGTGGTCAACAATAGCTTCATACACCATTTGTTTGCTTGAGATCCTGGAACTTTGAACTTAACTTTACTTATGCCTGTTACCCTCATGGAGGAGCATCCGCCGACCAGTAGCATTCTCCATCCGACTCTATCCTGAGCCATCCTTTCCAGTTGCTATCTATGCTTTTCATATTTGCTTCTGATTCTCGACGGAGTGTTCTTTGGCCTCCCTCTTTACTGTTTTCTTTCAAGATTCCAAGTTAGTACTGGACTCATGATGCAGTTTGATAATTTCCTCAATATGTATCTTAACCACTTACAACTCCGAGCCCGGGAAAAGAAGGAGGGTTGGGCATAAGATCGGCAATCACATCCCGTAGAATACAACCTTGTTACAAATAGACACTAACCAAATGAAACAAATTCGAACTTAGTACTGTTGGGGACGATAGATCCCCAAAACTCAAATTTTGTAATTTACTTGTCGATTAAATGTGCAGATAGGTCAATTGATGAACTATCGATTAAATATACAAATAGGTCAACTGATGAACTATCGATTAAATGTTCAAATAGCAGTCAATTGTTGATTAATGTTCAAAAATCTTCCATGACAATATCGATTGTAAATATTTGTATAAATACGCTTGACTTGTGTGCTTGACTTGTTATCTGCTGTTGCTTGTAGAATACACTTTCTACGCCCTACCAAGACTTCTTGATCGAGTTAGCAGAGTTGAGGACAACGGGCCAGAATAGACTATCGAAATTCTGAATCCTTGATCCGATCGATAAGCCACTGTCATATAATCGGCTGTCTCTTTGAGACATAACAAGTACCTACTGAGTTATATAGAATGAGAAAAACTGTATTTACTCGATTAATAAATAACAACTTAGTTCAATATTCTCATCATTATGGAGATTCTTAAGTTTTTCTTGATTGAGATCATAAATTCATCGATGTAAGACCATTATTGAAAACTTGGAAGGAATGGACGGCGGGGTCATGGGTGCGCACTGCTGAGGTGTCCCATAATGGGATGAAACGGCCGTCCAGTGCTCCCAGGTTTCCCATAGTGGTTTAGCTTCAGTTGACTCATGACTTAAATGTGACAACTATTGAAATGTAGATAAACTGCATGACTGTTTTGTTCTAGTATGTGACTTCTCAAACAGTACGGATTTATGACCACGGTTAACGAATACAACTGATGGATACTATTCACTTACCCCACTGCAGCAACAAACCGTCTGAAATATATATATTGAAATTTACAATTCACAGATATCAATAAAAAAACACGGACGTTATCTGTTCCTTGTCGATGTGCTTGGAGCTCTTTGAAATATTTGCCTCAGTTCAATCATTTTAATAAGCATATTGAAATGTATGATCAATAGTACACTACACTTTAAATAGCGTCAGAAGTATTAAATAGTTATCAATATAGGGTTGTGGAGATTTTTAAGTTTTAATTGTGATCATGAAGCGATCAATGTTAGACTACCATTGAAAATCTAAAAGCGTTGGACGGTTGTTTCATCTTCATATGAGACTCCTCAGAAGTGAACATCGACTATCCATCATACGAGACTCGAACCCAAGACCTCCGGCTTCAGCGTGCAGATGCTTAACCTATAGATCACTGAGGTGGCCGATGTTAACTTCAATCTATACACCATAATATGTGATCATCTTACATTAAATAACTGAGATAATTTTTCCATAAAATATGAATTTGAAAAAAAATATTTACTCACGCAAAAGGTGATCGTCTAGTGTAATGATAAAACAATTGTGCCTATATATTAGCGAATGAAACTGTTAAGAATTAATGTCCATTAATCACTATCTTTGAATCTGAAATAATATATTAGTTGTAACACTTGGTTAGTTACTTACTTATTTACTTATGCCAGTTACCCCTCGTTAAGGGGTATAGGCTGCCTGCCAACATTCTCTATCCAATAATATCCTGAGCCGACCTTTCCAGTTCTTCCCATTCGCTATTCATCCTTTTCATATTTAATTCCGATTTGAAACTCATTGTGTTCTTTAGCCCTCCACTTCTGTGTTTCCTTTCACGATTCCAAGTTAAGGCTTGCCTCCTGATGCAGTTTGATGATTTCCTCAATGTAAGTCTCATCCATTTCCATCGTCTTATCCTAATTTCCTCTTCAGTTGGAAGCTCGTTCATTCTATCCCACAGAAGGCTGTTGCTGATGGTAACTGGCCAATGGATGTTGAGTATCTTGCGTAGACAACTATTTATAAATACTTGTACCTCCTTGACGGTGGTTGTTGTATTTCTCCAAGTTTCAGCACCGTACAGTAGGACTATCTCAACGTTCGTATTAAAGATTCTAAATTTGATATTGTTTGACAATTGTTTTGATTTCCATATGTTCTTCAACTGTAGGAATGATGTTCTTGCTTTGCCAGTCTTTGCTTTCACGTCTGCATCAGATTTGTCTCGCTCATCGATGATGCTTTTCAGGAAATACTTGATTAAGTAAGATCGATAGACCAAATTGGTAGGTTGTGAATTTAATGGCTACAAGTTAGGTAATATTAAGTTAGTTATTATTCTATACATGTTGGCCCTTAATTGATTGGTAAATAGAATATCAAGTGGTAGACTTACTGTTCCTCTGTCATTGATATAATAAGTGTAAACATCATCAGTATAGCCTTGTTACAGATTACAAAAATATATCTCTTATCATAATGAAATACTTAACTTCCAATTGTACTTGTATTCACTATATTCAGAAGAAAATCTTTATATCTTCAAACATACCAGTGCAGTTAGATTGTTGTGATGATGATGATGATCCTGACTGACATGAACGTATTAAAATCAGTGGAATTATAATGTAGATAATCAACATTTCACAACAATTCACAGTATCTGAGTCAGTAAATCCAATTGTTTTGCAAGTTTATATATCAAGTTACTTGAGCAAGATTGATCAGCATATTGTATCATTCAGATATATGTATTTATTGAATTTACGAATGATAATAAAGGCGTATTCAGGTAAATATTATGTCATAACATACTACGCCCTGTCTAAACAACATTAATGGTTTCATGATGATGATAATGATGATGTTGATTAGTTTCTGATTTTGGCGAAGTTTCGCTCTCTGAACTGGATGGTTTTGTCGTAGATGATCATCAGCACAAATATCAGTGCTGATGATGTCATTCAGAAAACAATGAAAGCTCCACAAACAAACCATCTAGCTCTGAGAACAAAACTCCACCAAAATCATCCACTTGTGCTACAAATCTTCCCCGCCATCTCAGTTTGTTACCGAGAAATAGATTAAGAGTTATGGCTACAGATTTAATTCCATAAATACATTCAGTCAATGATCTATGCAACGTGCTTGTGTGGACTTACATTCTATTGACAATTTAACAATTCAGATAACTTTGTTTTCTTATATAAGTCATTAGATAACGTTCTCTTTTACATGCTCGATCTATATGACTTAATGTAATAACTGAAGACACTGTTTCTTATTTGTGTGGTATGTTCTACTGATATCGATAGATATAAGTAGTATGTATCAATAATCGATAGTGAAGTACCTTGCATTAGAAGGTTACAAAGACCGAGGAAAAGAGAGCGAGAACAGTAAATGATTGGTATGGAAACGAAAAAGAACAATGAAGTCTGAGACGATTAATTGACATTTTACAAATGAAGTATTTACTATATGGTTCCCAGATTTTACTAACATATTTTGTATTTCAGTATTTAAGTACATTTGATTGTCCCCAGTTCGATTCTCGTTCATGACAGTTATTTTGTGACTATTAACGTACATTTTTGACGACTTAAATACATTTGCTTATTTGCTATAGATGTGACAAGATATGATAAACAGATAAAGATTTATAACATCATATGACTACTTTGTATCATCCACAATCAGTTCACGCAATATATTGGCTTATGTTCTTTATTTTCAAATAATCTATGTCGGTTATCGAGACACACCGACTTTAACATTCAGTTCTCCTAATCAGGCATTACATTTTTCAAGTAGACGTTCGTTTACTGGTTATCCAGGTTTTTGATATCTAATAACATGCTTATTGATAATGATCTAACTTACATATTAACTTATTAGTAGAAAGTGTTTGTAGTTTGATTCATTTCATTGTCTCGTATTCACTTCAAGAGCAGTTTCACAGAGCGTTTAATCTAAACAGCTACTTAGTATATTAGAGTCGCATGTGACCATTTCAACTAACATTATCATACTTTTCTAAAACAATGTTTGATTATTCTGTAGTGAACAAGAACACCAGTGGGAACAATCGAATGTATTTGAGCACAAAATTACAGGACTTGTTAATAAAATCTAACAATCATAAAGTAAATACGTAATTTGCAAAATGTCCATCAATAATCTCAAATGACTTAGACTTCATTGTTCTTGCATTTTCATACAAATTGCATCATATTTCCATTCTTTACTGTTCGATCCTCTTTGTCTCTCTTCTGCCAGACCTTCTGTTCACGACTAACATCATCTACTACTTATTTCAATATAAGCAGCACACACCACAGTTCTATAATACAGGTTGGCTGCATTACATTAAGAATTGTCACACACACACACACATCGTATGTGTACAATTAAGCTCAATGAAAATAATCAGTTTGTTACAAATTAGTCATTTAAGAATATCGTCATTATTACAAATAATGTTAAACCATCATAAAATACTATATGATTGCATCTGCTGACGTTGATCCACTGGCTTGTGGTTCGGATGTTCAGGTCGAAGTTCAAAGTGTGATCCTCTAAGGAGACCACCTGCTTCAGTCTGGGAACCGAGGCAGTATCATAGCCCACACAAATCAAGTGACTTGTGTGGGGCATATATATGATCATATATTTGATGTGTATTGTTCTGATTTCGAGTCGATTCCAATGGCCATACTGAGATGAAGTTACATTCAGCTGACAATTTCATAATAGAATGAAACTCACGATCGAGATTTCACTGTGAGACATAATTTGTCTATCATGAAACCATGTTTTCATTAGCTTTATACTGATTGAGTAGAACGACATCATACATAAATTTACTTGTATAAACATCAAGAATGAGATGAGTACTTTGTACTTAGTGGTCATAGACGATGTTTGTTTAGTATGAATACAATATGCAGTTCCATCCTACGATCCAGATCACACTCTACTCTAATATACAATAATAATACGAAATGATTAAACGAATGAAGGCAGTTTATAATTCAATGATGATAACAGTGGAATAGATTACAGTAACTGGTAATGTGATGAGAAGTGCACTAGTTGTGATAGGAATAATAAAGGCTTGGATCATCAATGTGATATAATGGGAAGTAGGTCAACGATTAGACACTGAAATAACATTCATAAGATTAGGTCATAAGAAGTGATCAGATAATTGGACTGTGAATTCGTGTATATTCGTGGAAAGGAAAAGAGGTGGGAGGGGGGTGAAGTAAAGTAAACGTACAAGGATTATGCAATATAATGATAAATGAGATCATTTAATAAGGACAAGGGAGATATAAGGGAGTTAGCTCAAATTCCTATAGCTACTGCTATGTGTAACAGACGAGATCGAACCTCGTAAGGAAAACTAGTAGAAATAAGATAAATCATTTTAAATGACCTATTTCTGTCTACTACGTGACCACTATCGATTGAATGTGATTTGATTTAAATGACAAATGTTCTTGAAACTGAGACCCTGAAATGATGGTATATATATTCTACTGAATATTGTGAAGTGATCGACTAGTTTTCTTCTTTTCCATGCACGTCTGAAGATTTAAAAATATGCTTCGAACAATGTTTTTTTGCTTCACAATCACATTCAGCAGCTATGATATCTTGTCTATAATCACATATGATTGGTGATTTCTTTCATATCATATTTGTATACACATTCACATTTTACATCAAGTGAATCATATTGTAGATCACCAACGTAAATGATCTCTGTCGAATGATTGTTGGCCTACTCGAGTTAGACGGAAATGGTATGACGAACCAAATAAATTCGGAGTCACACACCTCGCAGTCAGAATGTAACTGGGTTTACGCCTTCGACGTATTAAAATACTATAGCTGCATTGAAAACTGTATAACATGAAAAATATTATTATGGAAATATATTAGTAAGTATGAGTACAGAGAAGATAGCGAGACCACCACCACATGTACTAGTCCATGACATAAGATTGATTGATACATGTTGGTTGTCCTTGACCTTGACGAGGATCGATGATCTATCTGATATTCAGTGACATAATTGCCGGGCGATTTGTCTAGGGCTCAATGACATTTCACTGGTCCTACTATATATATACTATACATTCGTGATGTATATTTATTCTAGTTTTGGAACTAGTTATGTTCAAACTGAGATGTTTATATGATTATCTCATTTTTACAATTCAATAGTCGATTTGTAAGACGTCAGATTCTCATCTTGAAGTGAACATCAAATTGGATGTAAGAACATTCTGTGGAATGAAACTCATGTTTCAATATAGAAACTTATTTCCAATGTTTGTGTCGACTATTGTAATGTTGTTTGTTTGCATTTAGACCAGAAGTTCTTTATCAAAATAGTTTATTTATCAGTATAGTCATGTATAAATGTAAATTACATATGGTTACCTTCTTAAATTATCAACAACACATTTGAAGAACAAACATTGAGAATAACACAGAACAAAACTGAACAGAGTTAAAGATGAAGGAATGTAAGGGATTCCATGGTTTATAGTAAGATTTAGTTTATATTGTCTTAAATCTAGTCAAGTTTTATATTGATATACTGAAGTAGCTTCTGATAGTACTCCTAAAATAAATGATAGAAAAGATTATCATTAGTAAGATAGTAAGATAGTCGAATATAAGTAGTAGCTTCATAGTTGAACTAATGAATCGGTCTAAGATAGCAATGAACGATGTTCATGTTTACCTTCAATCAATACTTGTGATTCAAACTGTGAAAATACTACGATCTCTATAAATTCCTATACCGATAACAATCATATCCTTACTAAGGATTAGCTTCAAGATGTTACTCCCGGAGTTCTATTAAGAAGTGGTGACCAGTGGAGTCTAATTCGTGTCGGGTATGAGACAGTTATCCACTTCATATAATGGATGAAGAGTTGTACACGATTATGGATCGATTGAAATTAGACTTGAACACTATTGGATTCCGATCCAGTGGTCTGGATGTTAAGCGTTAGCGTATGAGACTGAAGGTCCTGAGTTAGAGTCACACATGTGGGATTGTGGAAGGGCGCTTCTGAGGAGTCCGATATTAAGACAAAAATGCCGTCCGGTGATTCCAGGTTTTCAATGATAGTCTAACTTCAACTATTCAACTATGAAAATACTACAATCTCCTTAAATCCTACTACTGATATGTAGTAGCATTTCAACTTACCATGTTTGATTGATTGTGCTACAGGGGAGGAAATATTATCAATGAGCTATTATGATATCAGTATGAATTTCAAGTTTTTGCATCTATTAATAACCTTTTAGTTTCTATATAACTTGAACAATAGGTGAAATAATAATGAATACTAATTTAGTACAACTGGATCTTTAGCAAACAACTTTGATCCGTTTATGATTTGGTGATATTCCTTGTTGAATTCATACTATCTGCTAATAATAATAATAACGATTACATGAAGTCATACAGTCGGTGAAGTTTCACTGAACTCTAGACAAATCATCTGTCAAGTTGAGTACATCTTTTTTATACGAATAATTAATGAATATAGAATTACTTAGTAATCTTTAATAAAATCAAACATATGTAACGCTAATTGTTTGATGCATTCCATGAAGGACAGGTGACAGATGCATTCCAAGTGAGTACTAGAGTCAGACAAGACTGCCTAGTCTCTCCCTTTATATTTCTTCTGG